GACAGCAGGTTGGGTGGACAGCAGGTTGGGTAGACAGCAGGTTGGGTAGACAGCAGGTTGGGCGGGCCAGCACGGTATCCTGGGAAGTGCTCAGAGTGAGCAGACAAATTTGAGCCAGGACCAAATTGTATTCAAGATAAGAGAGCAGTAAGACAACTCTAGACATGCAGGTTGTCCTGGGGGACCACTGCTCTGCCTTGGGACACGAGTTCCTTATCTCTTCTCTGTCTCCCAGGTCATAGGGGTTTCTGCAACTACAGTGAATTTGGCAAGGTAGAGAGATTCCTGAGTGGCTTCACTCTCTCGAGTTGCCAGGCATTCCGAACCGTGGGACATGTTATTATTTGATGTAGTTGATTGACTCAGTGGTCTAGAAAATCGATTGTGTATTGCATAACTGTAAAAATTACTTTTATGTATCTTAGAAACAATAGTTTCATGGCATATTCTGAGATTGCCAAATCCTTATTATGGTATAACCGGAGATAGTGGATAAACATGTAGCTTTAGAAACATGCGCGCGCGCACACACACACACACACACACACACACACACACACACACACACTAGTTTTTAACTGTGGGTTTTCTCCTGCAGGCATGGATGAGCTGAAGCCAGAACAGCAGCACCCTCTCCCTTCCTACCTGGAATACAGGCACAATGCCTCTATTAGAGTCTACCAGACCAATTACTTCGCCAGCAAGTGTGCCGAAAGCCCCGACAGCAGCTCTAAGAGCTTTACCATTAAGCTTGGAGCCGAGATGGACAGCCTTGGTGGTAAATGTGATCCCAGTCAGCAAAAGTTCTGTGATGGACCACTGAAGCCACACACCGCCTACAGGTTAGATGCATTGCCATCGTTTGCCTGAGAGACGTATTACATTATGAGGTGCTCAGGCAGCTGAGCAACGTCAGTGCATATGAACTCCTGTAGACGAATAGCCTACACTGCAAGAGTACTCTATATTATATTAGAGGGAGTGATTTATAAAAGCTGAGCTCCTGCATCCACTCACGGGTAATGTGCAGAGAGGGATTTTTTTTCAGCATTGTACAAAAGCTCCAGTGCATTGTGTGAAGGACTGAGGGGTTTTAATAGATCATTCTTTCTGCAGCAACTGCTTTAGCCTTTCTCAAGTAATATATGATGTCGCTGTTGTGAAAATCTTCAGCGAGACTGCGTTTGGGGAGGCCCAAACAATACGAAGCTCCATCAGACACTTAATGAGACTGAAGCTATACTTACTCTCCAAGGTGTGTAAACGTGAACGTGCTCTATGGTCCAGACAGGGCTCTTGGAGAGAGCTCTGCCTGAATGAAAGCACCTGTTCCTTGCTCTGAGGTGGCGAATGAGTGGAGCAGCTGTTTGCTGCTGGTCCCCCAGAAAGCACAGCGGCAGTCATCAGTGCCTTCCTGCCCTAGGAATTTGTGGCATTCTTATTCTTCATTGTGTTTCCAAAAGCAAATAGAGTCACCCAGTCAGCATCCTCAAGGGAAAGGAAACCTAAGCTCCTGCCTTGGATGATAAGGCCACCGACATCCAAATTTATTATTTCCTCAGGGGATGGACCATCTCTGTTGGGTGTTGTGGCAAGCCTGATAATCCAGGCAATACGGCAGCCAGTCAGGTTCCCTGTGAGCCAGTGTGCATTCTGGCTGATCAGTGCCAAGCAAAGTCTTACTGACTCTTAAGTATTTTGAGTCCCACTTCTAACACCTAATGACAATCATCTGAAAGAAACACCCACTAATCAAAATCATTAACCACTCCTTCATTGATCTCCCAGCCCCATCAAACATCTCATCATGATGAAACTTCAGCTCTCTACTTGGCTTATGCTTAATTATCCAAATCCTGGAGAGCAAGTAGAATTTTTTTTTCTGTCCGTTCCCAAAGAAGATCGTAGTGTATTATCACACCTAAGAGTATTCCTTACTTCTCTCACCCCCGTCAACAAAGGCAAGCAGATGGTTTTCCTAAAACAAAGGCTCCCTTTGGGCAAGAGCATCAGGTAACCACCAGGATCCCACACAAGTTTGCTATTACCTCTCGGGCAAGACTATGACCTCCAGAGTAAACATGAACAAGTCCAGGGATCTATATTTCAAAAAAATCCATGGCTCTACATAAAGGAGATCAGTTATTAGACAGAGAAAGCAAGAAGCATAAATGGGATCAGAAACTGGAATCCTTCCGTCTTTGGAGGTGTCAGAGAGTCCTCAGTTCCTTCGTTATCTGGGTTCAAAGAACCTGAGCAAAATTATCCTGGGTACTGTTCCCCCATAGAAGTGAAAGCCTTTCATTTAGGTGTGCTTGTTCATTGACTTATAGAGAGAAGAAGATGGGGTATAGAAGAACCCCTCTCTGCCCAAAGACCTACAGTGTCTACTTGGGTCCACAGACAGTAGTGAACCTTATAATTTCAACCCTTTCCCATGTTAACTAAGCATTTACCATGTCCTGGTATGGCCCTTAACAATTATGAGACTTGACACATTTCAGGTTCATTCTCAGCAAAGCTTTTTAACTTCAGCATAAGATCCTTTCCCTAATTAGATCAGCAACAGTCACATTTCAGACTAGAGGAAGTTTCTCTTTATTCTATGTGAACTGCCAGCACTACTAATCTGCATTTGGGGAGTGTTATAAAGTAAAAACTAAGGTTTCTTTAACATGAGCACTGAGGTATTGTGACAATCTATCTGATAATAAGAGAGCTCAAAAAACTAGGCTTGATGGAGCAAGTCTTTAGCACTAGCATTTGTGACATAGAGGCAGGAGGATCAAGAATTCAAGGGTACCCTGGTGTCCTAGAGTTTTATTGCTGTGAGGAGACACCCTGACCAAGGCAACTCTTAAAAAGGAAAACATTTAATTGGGGCTAGCTTATAGATCAGAGGTTTAGTCCATTATCATCAAGGAAAGAAGCATGCATGCTGGTAGACATGATGCTGAGAGCTCTGCATCTGGATCCTCAGGCAGCACGAAGAGAGAATGACACTGGGCCTGGCTTGAGCATTTGAAACTTTAAGCTCACTCCCAGTGACACACTTCCTCCAACAAAACCACGCCTCCTAATAATGCTGCTTCCTATGAGCTTATGGGGGCCAATTTCGTTCAAACCACCACACATGGGCTGTACAACAAATCTGAACCCAAACCAGGTACATAAAACCCTGTCTCTAAAAAGACAAAACCAAAACTAAACCAACAGATGGCTACCAAGTAACATTGCGGGAGTGGGGAGGGGCTGGGGAGATGGCTGTTTGTAAAGGCTTGTTAGGCAAGCAGGAGGATCACAGATTGATCCCCAGAACCTATATACAAAAGCTGGATGGGATGGTTATATGCTTGTGATCCCAGAACTGAAAATATATCAATAAGAAATCTTTTCTAGGGTTCACTTTAGTAGACAGCCTAGCTAGATCTGTAAGCCCCAGGCTAAAGATAAACCCTATCTCAAGAACAATAAAAACTCACAAGGTAAATAGCTCCTGGGCTTGTCCTCTGGCCTCCCCACAGGCCTGCACACATGGGCATGCGCACCTGAACCACATGTACCTGTACACACACATGTAGAAATGCTGAACAAAAGAGTGTTTCATTCTCTGGATGGAACAGAATGGAACAAAGTGAGATCTCACGGAGCCATTCAGAATGGCATACACTTTAAACCTTAGGAAATGTTTTTGGGTCACAGTTGACTAGGTGACTGAAATGGCGCCGGGGTGAAAGGGTAAGAGAGGACAACAGCACTGCCTTTCACAGGAAGAGCAAATAAGACACTATGCACAATCACGTCTGGACCAGGAGCGCCCATCTCTCAGATCACACTTGTCCTATCCACAGTGGTTGCCCAGGCCCAGGGGAAGCCCCAGCATCCGTGCTCCAGGTCCATGCTTTCTAGCTGTGTCACACTGTAAGCAGCATCCTTGCCTTCCCCATCTGCACATCACAGAGTTGTCCTGGAGAGTCACGGATGTGACAGATCAAAGCCCATCACGTCTGGTTGGTGATTCCTATTCATTTACAGTCGCTTGTGACCTACCATTTGCCCTCTGACCTCTCACTCCATCAAGTTCCCTGTGGCTGGCTCCCCTACATCTCCAAATCTTTGAAATTTGTTTTTATGATCCTTCAGAATGCTTTCTATTCTTCTCTGGCTTGCCTATGAAGCCCGCTCAGTCTTCAGACAGCTCTATGCCATATCCGACAGCCATAGATGGGTAGTAACACTCTCCTCTGGCTTCACTTAAAACCCCCAAGCCCCATATACATCTAATCCTGCATTTCCCTGTGACTTTTACCCCTCTTCGCTAGCCTTCCATAAAGGATTCAGTGTCACTGGGGAGTCAGACAAGCCATTGGTTACAGAACAGTGCACCAAGTACTTGGGGAAAAAAAAGTATCCATCAAGTGTTTATGAACAGAGGAATCAGTCAAGATGAAGACATACCACATTCTTAAAGCTTCGTCAACTTACAGCGTATATGTGTGCTTTCCAGAACAGCATATACATCTGTTTGCTAGAACTCAGTATGCTTGTCTGCACCCGCCCACACATATAGTTGATTCAGTCCTGTGGAGGGCAAGCTAGGCAAAGAATACTTGGTAAGAGGAGGTATAACTTCTCAAAGCACATAGAAGAATTATATATTAAATAGCCTCATGTAGTCAGAACTCTGCCTGTCTTAATGATAACCACCATAATGACACCTGAAGTTGTCAGTCTTCTTCTTCTTCCTCTTCCTCTTCCTCTTCCTCTTCTTCTTCTTCTTCCTACTCCTCCTCTTCTCCTCCTTCTGTTTCTGCTTTTTTTTTTTAAGAACACCATGTTCTTTGCTTATCAGTGGTATTCGTTATCATCAGACACATTGTGTGTATAAACTTACCGTCTGACTTTCTCCATGAGATTGAAGTTTTCGGGGTGGTAAGAGTTTTGCTTTAGTCCTCTTATGGTCCCTGGCTCCTAGAAATTGATCTGCACACTTCAGGGGCTCAATAAGTATTTGATGACCAAATCAGTGAATGATTGCATGAGTTCACGTCTGTCTGGTTCCATAGTTCATCTCACCCTGCACACAGAACAACCACCTACCGACCCTGTTTCCCCCTGAACTCAGTTTTCGGCCCATCCTGCTCCGTTCAGTCGCTGGTTAAATAAACGTGTTTTCTTTCAGAATCAGCATCCGGGCCTTTACGCAGCTATTTGACGAGGACTTGAAAGAATTCACAAAGCCCCTCTATTCAGATACATTTTTCTCGTTGCCTATCACCACCGAGTCAGGTAAGGCTCCTCTCCGTCCACACGTGCCTTCCCCAGTTACCATGTCATCTACAAGAGCCTTTAGTGGGGAAGATAGTGGTTTGCCTGGTGGTGGCTGGGTATTTATTTTCCCTTAGATTATAATCTCCACATGACCATGGGTTGACATGGACCAGAGGGATCACACCAGTTCTACAGAACAGAATGGAGGGAGCTGAATCTTAAAAGAAGGAGGAAGCACACGATGTTTTCCCACTAAAAATGAAGTGTTAAGTGAATGGAAAACACCAGGACTGAGAGCTTACATGTGTCACAATGTAAGCCGACCCAAAGGGCTCTCTGATGTAGGCCGGACAGAAAGGGCCAGGGAGCCAGACCAGAGCCATGACTGGTTTCTAATAGCCATTGCCAGGGACCAGGCCTTCCTTCGGTTTACTGGAGGTGGCTGGAGCTGAGCAAGCTGTTCTCGGGAAAGCCACATCTCAGGGGCAACCAATTAGTAGGCGTGCCCTCAGCCTTCTGCTAGCTAAAACTAACCTTCCTTACCCTGCCGCTGGAAAGTCCTTAACCCCTACAGCCACCTGCCAATCCTGGGAAGTTGCTTAAACCCACCAGTCAGCCCCCAGACTAATCTCTCCTTCCTAGAACTCCCCTAACCCCGCTTGAAAGGAGCCTGTGAGCCTCTCTGGAGGTGGTCGAGCGCCACTTTGTCAGATGGGAAGACCCTAACATGTTGGTAATATCAATAAATGCTCTTGCTGACTGCATATATGCCTGGCGGCCTTTCGTGGGACTTCTTGCGGACCTTAACAAAAATATGCATGTGGGGTTGGTTTTCTGCAGCCACAGGTTCAATACCGTGTAGCCCAGAAAAAAAAAAATCAAGAAACAAATATGTTTGTACCAATTATAAAGAAACTTTCTTTTCATAGTATTGTTCTCTAATATAGTCTACCACCGGCTGGCATGGCATGCACATTGTATAGGCGTTGTCAGTTAATCCGGAGGTGTCCGATGTCACACAGAGGGTATGCGGGTTTATGTGGAATAATACACCACCATTTAGGCACGGATCATGGAAGCAATCACCCCTAAACACTAGGGGCAAGTGTGCACGTAAAAAAAAGTGGGGAAGAAAAACACTAAGTATTAATTAATAATTATGATATCCAAAAACAGAGGTTAAAGGTGATTTTTGTTTTCCTTCTGTTTGTTATGTTCTCTTATACATTAGTTAAAGTCTTGTGTAGCACAATTAATAAAAATTGTCCCAGAGATCAAAATTGGTTCAACCTGAAGGTCAGTAAAGCAAAACAGCCAGTCACTGACTCTTACGTCTACCTCAGTCCAAAATAGCGATCCTGCCTCCAGGAATCGCAGAATGAGACTGTGTCTGTGAGCTGTCTCCTTCCGTTTCATAATCCTCTTTAGGGCAGGGATTAAACGCATGCACCACTACTGCCCCGTTTCTATGGCAAACTAGTGTGGCTACTGGGATTAAAGGTGTGTGTCACCACTGCCTGGTCTGTAAGGCTGATGGGTGTTGCTGTTTTACTCTCTGAACTTCAAAGCAGGCTTTATTTATTAAAATACAAATGAAATATCATATCACTCTTGGGCCGGTAAAATGACTCAGTAGGCAAAGTCACTTGTCTCCAAGCCTGACTGCCTGAGAGCTTCCAGAACCCACAGAGGAAAGGAGAGAACCAACTCTTGCAAGTTGTCCTCTGACCTCCATATTCACACCATGACACACCCATGCACACATGGGTACATAAATATTTATGTGCATACATAAATAAATAAATGTAATTACAATTTTTTATTTTAAAAAATGTGAATTTAGAGGTCAGTGTGTCATCGCTCAGCTGTCGTTCAGAGGCAGAGTTCTTGCCTCGTATATGGGAGGATCCCCCAAGTCCAACTCCCAGCAAAGTAACAATAATATTTTAAAAATTAAGATGTAAATTTGAAAGGCTTTGTACAAACATTTGGAGGAAACCTGTGTAGCAAGTTTGAGGGACAGCATGGGTGGCCATGGTGAGCGACATTTGCCGGTCACCCCTTTGGAGCTGGTTTTGCATTCTGCAGAGTACAGCTTCTGCAGTTATTGTCACCTGCATCTTAAATGTGAGACCCTGTGGAACCAAGAGGTCAAGTAACTTTCTCAGTCAGTTTCAGCTGGTATTCAGGGATATCCCATCTAAGCCTGCGGTGGTCAGCACTGCCCTGTCTCTTGATTCTCTCCATGGTCATGAAAATTGCATGACTCCCATGGTCTTGTTCTTTGACTCCATCACATCCCAGCTTTCCTTGTCTGGTGTGCTGCAGGCTCAGACTTTTGGTCTGGGCACGCTATCTTGGTCTCTCCTGCTGCGCGATAAAGGATGGTCCAGTCGCACAGACCTTCCTCTCTGTTTCTGGCAAATATGAGGATAACCTCCTTCATCCTGGGCCAAAGAAGGATCAGAAGCCAGCTAAGAGGATTTGGATGTGCCTGGCTGAAATTTACTGTTGAGTAGAGACTTTGCAAACACGATTCTTTCCGATTTGAACTATTATGATGGAACAGAAAATTTATGTAGTCCAATAAAAGAAAATGCTCAGCAAATATTCAAAGCAGAACCATAAGGGCATTAAAAGGAGAATGTCTGTGTTGAGTGGATGAGTAATGTAAACCAATATAGAACAAACAGGTCTAATGCTTAAGAGTGGAGCTCCCAAAATGGGCTCCTCCACAAAACTAAACTGGAAAAGCAAAATAAGAAGACTTTCCAAAGAAAAAAACGGACCAATGATTCATAGCACTGAGTACTTTCTAGGAAAGATGTATGAACTAAAAGGTCTACTGTGTGACTCACCAGGCCACATGACAGCTTCTGCAAGAAAATCATCGTCATCCTCTTCCTCCTCCTCTTCCTTTTCCTCATCTTTCTTTTCCTCCTCCTCTTCCTTCTCCGCCTCTTCTTCTTTCTTCTCTTCTTCCTCTTCTTCCTCCTCCTCCTCCTCTTCTTCCTTTTGTTTGTTTGTTTGGTTTGGTTTTTGATAGTCTTTTTTAAAGTTTTGTTTTATTTTAAGAGGGGAGGTTGCAAGGGCAGAGGGAGAAGGCAAGGGGATGGGGAGATAAGCGGGATCTGGATGCAAGGCGTGAAATCCACAAAGAACTAATTAATGCAAAAAAAGTTAAAGAGAATATATCCACCATCCCCTCCCAGAGTTGATGAACTTTTACTCTGGAACCAGCCTACCTATAACAGGATGTAGGCAGCAGCTCAACTGTCTACTCATGGCTTTGGGGTCGTCAATACCTCCCTGTGGGCCTCTTGGATGGCACGAATGGCAATGTTACTTAGGAAGACAGCTTCCATGGCTGTCAGATTGGTGTCTTACCCCTAATTCTCTCTTTTTATTTGTTGCTTCCATCTGGATTACCGCAGAGCCCTTGTTTGGAGTTATTGAAGGTGTGAGCACTGGCCTGTTCCTCATTGGCATGCTGGTGGCCCTTGTCGCCTTCTTCATCTGCAGACAGAAAACTAAGTAAGTGTGAAGAAGCCTTTAGTGATCAGGCTTGCAAACATAGAGAGGCTGCTAAAAAAATGCCCTTTAGTCTGAAAGGGCAAACTAGTTTCAATTCTCCACGTTAAATCACTGTAGTTTGCTTAGTAAGAACAAGAGTCAAACTGAAGCCAAGACTCATGCCTCTCCGGGTTTCCTATAAACCATTGATGCACCGGGCCCTCATCAAAGAGGAGAGGCCGTCAGTAGATCTATTTAAATATGGAACAGAATCCTTTTGCACAGGCAAAACAGTTGGGGTACACAACCTTATGAAGACAGACTTTTCCAAACTGCCTGCATGCTTTTCTGAAATGCCCTAGGAAGTACGGCTGGCATAGCATCATGGGATTTACCAGCTACCCTAATTTCAGGAAGAACTAAAATGAATACTTTTCAGAACGGGGCCCTTTTCTGTCACTAATTTTTTTTTTTAACTTCGTGTTCTCCCTTGCAACCTTATCTGGCATCTGAAGTTTTCTGACTAAGGGGACTTTCTTAAGGAAAGTTTTATTGAGTGTGGCAAATGCTTATGACCAAACATCAGAAGACATCTTTCCATTATTCTGGAGATACGTTTCTGAGTGGGCAAGGTGACGTTATATTGTTCCCATCTCTTCTTCCTCCCCCAAAGAGATGTCAGCTGAGTGCAGACTTCTGTGGAATCTGAAAGTTTCACATTTGCACACGTGTGCACAGCCTTACCATAAACGCGGGATGTTGTACACGCCAAGTAACGTAATCAGAATAAAGAAATCTGTGTCCTATGTTTCAGCCATGGCCGGGAAAGGCCATCTGCCCGCCTGAGCATTCACAGGGATCGGCCTTTGTCTGTCCATTTGAACCTGGGCCAGAAAGGGTAAGTGCCAAAGCTTCCTTTGCTAGGTTTACTGAAAAATGGCATTCTGTGAGATTTGCTAACAAGGACCCTCTTTCTTTTTTGTCTACCTCACAGCAACCGGAAAACCTCTTGGTAAGAGAAAAATGTATTAATTAATTCGCTTTTGAAATACAACTCAGCCTGGTGAGAGCATTTCCCCGTTCCTTCAGTAACTTTCTTGTCTTGTTTTGTTTCGAATTACAGTCCCATAAAGATAAATCAGTTCGAAGGGCATTTCATGAAACTGCAGGCTGACTCCAACTACCTTCTGTCCAAGGAATATGAGGTACCGTGCAGGCCCGGGGAAGCCTCTGCACCCACCTGAAGCATTCCCTCTTCAATGTGACTATGAAGTAACAGTTGGGATGCCTACGATCTCAGGAGAGCACTCCTGTGTCTGAGACGGGCCCCTTGAACAGAATTCGACCTGTTCTCAGGGGCTGGTTTGAGTTGACAATGCATAGCAAACTTAGAGCTTTCTGGATCAGAGGGAAAAAGTGAACACATTTCAATGTGATGCTGTCCGTTGCTCAGTGTGTCTGGGAAACAATGTAGTTTGGAAAAGAGTACTCAGGCTTTGCACATGATTCTCAGTTTTGCCACATGCGTGTACTGGAGCGTGGTATTTATCACCTCTAAGCCTCATCTATAGGATAATATTAAGAGCACCTGTCATGTAGAGTTGTGAAAAGGACCAGAGCCCATGCATACAGAATGCCTGTGTTCTGTAAACTGTAACTCAGGTACACTTCTTTATGTGTCTCAGGGGTTGTATGAGTTGCCTTATTTTATTTTATAATCTCCACTTGCAAACTTTTTTCTAAACCCAACAGGACTTAAAAGACGTGGGTCGAAACCAGTCATGTGACATTGCTCTCTTGCCTGAGAACAGAGGGAAAAATCGATACAACAACATATTGCCCTGTAAGCTTTGTGTTGGAACTTAGTGGTGCTATTACATAAAAACCATGTGCGTGCATGCGCATGCATTCGTGCGTGTGTGCGTGCATGCGCATGCGTGCGTGTGTGCGTGCGTGTGTGTGTGTGTGTGTGTGTGTGCAGATTAGCTAGATATGCATGCTCTCGGGCTTTGATAAGGAATGTTCCCAATGTTCATGCGCTTCTCTCACAAGGGTAATGGCCATTTTAAACTCTGGTTCTGAGAGGACCAGTTGGCATTTCTCTTTGCTGCTCTTACTCTTTCTCCTTGGAGGCTCAGAACGTGACCAAGTTAAGAGCAACACACTTGGGTTTACCTCACAGTCTTTAGTCAGCGATTTTTAAGAAGAGCAGCCTACCCTACCAGGTAGAGCCATCAAAGGTGGTTTTCCTGCTAGTGTTCATTCCGGAAGTGAAAGAGAGCTGGCTGCTGCATGGAACTAGGGTGGTAATGTTGCAAAGGAAACCATAGATGGGGCTTCCCATTGTTTCCTGCATCCTTTGTTTATGTACCACCTACGTCACATGCCCCGAGTCAGTTACCATGGCAGAGTCCCACCTATTAAACAGAGATAAGAACACTTCTCTTCGGGCTGCTGTGGGGATCAGAGTAAGGCAATCTAATAGCACATTGCCCACATGGGAATATCATCCCAGGTAGCAGCACATCTTTCTATCAATCTCCTTGCAGATGATACCTCAAGGGTGAAGCTGTCCAACGTAGATGATGACCCGTGCTCCGACTACGTCAATGCCAGTTACATCCCCGTAAGTGAACTCCCAGCTCATCACGCCCAGGATTAAGCTGATGATGGCTATGTGGGACATGCCACGCCTTCTAAGCCGCCCTACTGTTCTCCCTAGAAACAAGTTGCGAGATTTAAAAGACTATGTCCGTTTGCCATAAAATACAGGCTGCTCCCTTCGATCACTGTTTTTCACAACGGCCATGGTCAGGTGCAATTCTCACCAACCCGGGATGCATGTTTTCAAAGATTGTTTCCTTTCTGTGGCCCTGAGATAAGGAAGATTAGAGTTGCTCGAGGAAGCTGCCCCCATGGGTAAGGCCGCCATGCCAAAAGGACCAATCTCTTGCTACTTGGACTTTTGGAAGACACACATACACACTTCAAAGTTGTGTTAACTTCTGGGATCTGATACAGACTTACATCTTGCCAACCTCCCACATACACCAAAAAAAAATGGCTTTAAAGGTCAAAAAAAAAAATACACCCAGATCTGATCTGAATTCCACATCTGTCCCTGGCTGGCTTCATGGCACAGCTAGTTCTATCACCTCACTGAGCCCCTCATTCCTTTTCCAGAAAAAAAAGGAAAAAGGAAAAAGGAAAATACCGCATTATTGTCTATACATTCAGTAAGTGCTAACCAATTGAGTGATAACTATAATAGAAATCCTGTGATATATAAAGGGATTGCATCTCTAAAGAACTGTTGGATAGTCAAGACCTTGAAGAGTTGCAGGGCAATGTCACGCTTCCCACACCAGAGCAGCGTCTCCTACACGAACGACCATCGGCACCACTCACACTTCAACACCGTCTGTTCTATCTGTTGGAGACACAGAGAGCCTGCTACTTTGCACTTCTAGTGACCCCTGTGTGATCCCATCTCCACTAGGCCTGAGGACCACACTGAGTAGCAAGAGATTAGAAGGTACCACAGAACACGGAGTAGGAGAATGCCAGCTGATAGAGAGGAAGATGAAAGATGACTTCAGTCAGCCAGACAAGGTGCTAAGGATGAATTAAGATTAGCCAGGCTGAGAGGCAGTGTGGGTGGCTGGGTTGTGGATGGCAGAACCAATGTAATAGAGAGAGCTTGAGCAAAGGCAACGAGAAACGAGCTTCCACTAAGACTCGGAACTAATTCTGGAGTGCTAAAGTGAAGAAGGAATTAGTGGAACTATCTAGGTCACTGTGTAGGATGAAGTCAGAGCGGTGAACGTCCAGACCCACTGCACATCATCTGGGAGAAGCTCAGGGCATGAATGGCTCATTTTCCATTAAGTGTTCTTTGTATGATATCTCGTTCCAAACTAGTGTAATGTAAATGATCCAAAAAGAGTAAAACCAGTTCTTTGAACAGTTCACACACACACACACACAAAACCACTAAATACACACACAAAGGCACACACACACATAGGCACATATAGACACAGAAACATGAACCACATACACAGTCACACATAAAGGCACACAGAGACACATACACACAGGTATACATACATACATACACACACACACAAAGGCATACATGAACACACACATGGGTATTCATAGACACACAAACACACACACACAGGGACACACAAACAAAAGTAAAATTGTTTTCTCTATTGGGGCTGGAATCTTCCATTCGCCTTGACAGCAGACCCAGTCGATCAAGGGGACCCTGGCTGTAAACAATGGCCCAGTGCTCTCTCCTTTGTCCTTCCGACTCCCAAGCCTTGACACTGGCAGAGATCTCCATACCTTCTGGTCTGCGAGCTAGCTCTTTTGTTTACAGTTCTGAAGAGCCCATTGTTTCTGACTCTCTGTATTGTAAACTCATCGCAGGGTAACAACTTCAGACGAGAATATATCGCCACGCAGGGGCCGCTTCCTGGCACCAAGGACGACTTCTGGAAGATGGCGTGGGAGCAAAACGTTCACAATGTCGTCATGGTGACCCAGTGTGTCGAGAAAGGCCGAGTGAGTGGACAGTTTTCCTGCCTCCCTGGCTGTACCCTCTGCTGTTGTTCTGATGGAATTCTATCCTCCTTCCCTATCCAAAGTTCCACCCACAAACCCAAGAAGATGCCCTGGGAGAAGGCTGTTAGGGAATTAAGCCACTTGATGATCAAACAATCTGGATCCTTTCTTAAACTCTTGGTCAGACATTTCGTTCAAACTGTGAAGCCTGTGAGAGTCGGAAGTAAACGTGAGTGGGAAGCTTGCCTGACCCTATGCTCTGTCCTTCAGAGTGTGGGTAGGAGAGCCACCCTCAGAGATGAGGAGCCTCCCAGGAGAGACATATTTTAGGCTGTACTGGCAGACATCAAGTAAAATACCTTTCTGAACTACTATTAAAACCTTTTATATTTATAACCACCATTTAGGATCTTTTATACTATATGGCTACTTTTAGAATTAAAAGACCAAATGTAAAGAGCTTAATATCTGTGTGCCGGATTTCCAGACTGTCTTCCATCATCCTGCCTAGACTGGGACCTGTCTTTCTCCACAAGAGTAACCTTATAGATGATATTTATATAAATGTTGATGAAATGGCTAGAATACTTGTCCACGTAAACATATTACATATTCATGTAAACAGAAATTCAATACACATGTATAGTTATAGCTGCCTAACTCACCATAAAATAAAAGTGATGTTCATTGTTTTGATACCCAAGTCTATACACAGAAATACAAATATATGCTGATAGCCAGTGAATATGTGTCTTATAAAATATATCAATTTTAATTAATCTGTTTTGCTGTACGGAGGGCTGTTTGTTGGTTTTCAGCCACCTGGCTATCTTAGACCCATAATAATCACATAGAAACTATATTAATTAAATCACTGTTTGGCCCATTAGCTCTAGTATTTTATTGGCTAACTCTTAATTAATTAATTAATTAATTTAACCCATTTCTATTAATCTGTATATCACCATGTGACTGTGGCTTACCAGGTAAAGTTTCCAGCATCTGTCTCCAGCAGCTCCATGGCTTCTCTCCTGTCTGCCTTTTTTCTCCCAGCATTCAGTTTAGTTTTCCTCGCCTACCTACGTTCTGGCCTAGCAACAGGCGAAGGCAGTTTCTTTATTCACCAATGGTACTCACAGCACACAGAGGGAAATCCCACATCACTGTTCCACAAAACAGAATATAAAAACAAGTCCTCAGAATCTCCTTCCTCGTCTCTTTATGCACATAAACACAAGTTCAGCTGCAAGTTCTAACTCCTCAAAGGTCTCTGTCATGGAACCCAGGTAAGAAAAGTGATAAAAATTTGAACAGCACAGAACCAGAAAACAATGCCTCCCTATTCTTGGCTAGGTCTTTCTTCTGACAGAACATTTTTCCCCTTCTTTTTGATGTTCTCGGGGAAGGAATCCCAGGCCTTGTGATGCTCTGCAAGGCCTCTCTGCCACTGAGTTAGGGCCCCAACAAGAGATTTAAAAACAAGACTTTTTAAATCTTTTTAAAACAAGAGATTTTAAGTCATTTATATTGGTTGGTGGGACCAGGACACTGAGGAAATCATTGAGAAAAAAGAAAAAAAAAAGCAAAAACAAAAACAAAAAAACCTTAAGCTGTCACAAAGGTGAATGAATCCAAAGGTGGGGATGGTTCATGCTTGGGGAGGGGGCAATTTCTTGCTATCCCTTGGAAGAACAGCCTGACTTCGTCACTGGTCATGAGCAGATTAACAGAAAGTAAATGATCAAGTTGTTTTAACAGCTGACCATGGATCCCTAACTCAGGGATTGAAGGAGGGAGAGTACACATGGCCTCACTATCATGTTTCCAGACTTATTTTTCCCTGTCTGTTCTCTTCTAGGTAAAGTGTGACCATTACTGGCCAGCAGACCAGGACTCTCTCTACTATGGGGATCTCATCTTGCAGATGGTCTCAGAATCCGTGCTACCCGAGTGGACTATCAGGGAATTTAAGATTTGCAGTGTATGTTAGTTTGCTTGACTTCATTTTAAAACCCAACTTAGAAGCCAGGTACTGTGGTTATTATATATTTGGAATCCCAGCATTTGGGAGGTGGAGGCAAGGAGAAGTTCAAGGTCATCCTCAAATACTGGATAGCTTGGGGCAAGCCTGGGCTACAAGAGACCCTATCTCAGGAAAAGAATAGAAGGGAAGGAGAGAGGAAGAAAGGGAGGGAGGGGGAGGCAGGAAGGGAAGAGGGACGGAATAAAAGAAACAACCCAGCTTACATAGCAGAGACTCTGAATCCTGCTTTTCCTGATTCGTAGCCTGTAGTTTCAGACCACGGAACCTCACGTGGGGCACCGTTGTCGGAGTCCTTGCATTTCCCTCAGCCGTCCCTCCCTCTCATCGTCTGCTCTCCACTCCTGCAGGAGGAACAGCTGGACGCACACAGGCTCATCCGTCACTTTCACTACACAGTATGGCCAGACCACGGAGTCCCAGAGACCACCCAGTCTCTGATCCAGTTTGTGAGAACTGTCAGAGACTACATCAACAGAAGCCCGGGGGCGGGGCCCACGGTAGTGCACTGCAGGTAGGAGCAACAGGAAAGGTGGCTGGCGGGAGTGTGGGCGGCGATGTCAGGAAGAGTCCACAGCAATGCGAAGGGCGCATGACCATGGGGTATCTCCAAGCCAGCCAGGCTGCCTCCCCGCAGCGAGTGCATCGTGTTCTCCTCTTCTAACCTCATTCTTCTTCACAGCTTCTCCCTTTCCATTTTCCTCACCTCCCACTTTGTTCTCCCCCTCGCTCTCTTCTTGTTCTTTTTCCTACCGCATGAGCTATAGGATCCTTAAGTGACTTCCACGCCCTCCGTCATGGTCCTGTCTCACCTTCAGCCCAACGTCTGGCTCATTTCCTCTCCCGTTCTAGCCCGGAAGTTGACTCTACATGCTTATTCTTTTGCTTTGCCTGCTTCCAATCTTTTAAATTAATTTTTTAGATTATTGTGCATACCAATAGGTTTCATTATCACATTTTCATACATATATGTCCTTATACTTTATTTTTGTATGTTCTCCTCCCCCACAGACCTCCCCCATATATCCTGCCTTCCTCTGATGGGTTCCCCTCTTACCCCCTCTGCTTTCATGTCATAAGTATTTCATTGCCTTCATTGCCTTCTCCCTCCTTGAGATCATTGTCTCTCCTCTCATGGCCCCCTTTCTAGCTTCATTACACACACACACACACACACACACACACACACACACACACACACACACACAGAGTGTATTAGTTATTTTCCATTGCCGGGATGAAAACACCATGAACAAGACACCTTACGGGAGAAGGAGTTTCTTTGGGCGTACAGTTGCAGAGGTTTCACGACCATTCTGGCAGAAACAGTACGGCAGCCAGCAGTAGCATGTGACTGGAGAGGCCAGCTGAGAGCTTCCATGTTGAACTGCAAGCAAGAAGTAGAGAGCAGACAGAAAGTGGGCATAACTATAGAAAATCAAAGCCTGCCCACAGTGACATACTTCTGCAAGTAAGACCACACCTTCTAAACCTACCCGAAGGGCACCACTAACTGGGACCAAGTGTTCAAATGCCCGAAAACTGTGGGAGATATTTCCCGTTCAAAGTACTTCGTGTAATTTTTCATCTAGGTCCTGAATAGAGGAGGAAACACAGTCTTTTTCTTTCTGAGTGGAATGCACAGACTTCTTGCTTTCTGCTATTTTGTTTTGTTTTGGAGACCTGTGGTTTCCTGCTGTTTTTAACTCCTTGAGTTAGCTTTCTCGCTCTTCCCCTTGAAGGAGCCTTATCCACCTATTGAACTCACTGCCCTAGACTCCCCTCCGGGTCTAGTAGCATGTTCTCATCCACTGGTGATGCTAGAACAAAATACTGCAGACTGGGTGAAAGGACTCTGAATTGTAGGGTGCTCCCCTCTGGAACCTGAATTAGGCACAGATCAGACCCAAACCCAGATTTCCTACACAAGAGATCCTTTATTAAGCAAGGCAGAGAGACAAGATGGCTGAATCTGAATTGGTCAGAAAGGGCAGCAAACGGCTTTACAGGGTGTTAATTTTAAGGGGAATAAAGGGTAGGTCTAGAATGAGCTAGAATGTATTGGTAAGTTCTGGTGGGTATTTTAATGAGGGTAATCAAAAGAATGAATTTTGATTCCTGGACCTTAGGGTTTTGATAGTTGGACCTTGGCCAGCCTCAGGAATGAGTCAATGGCCAAATAAGAGACTAGACCGTGGTGGCTAGCTTTAGGAACGGAATCTAAAGGTTTAGCAAGGGGGAGGGAGGTAAAAGGCAAAGCCTGTCGGTGCCATGTTTGCCAAGTTAGGCCGTGGGCCTTTCATTGGCAATTTATAAACAACAGAAATTTATCCTTCACAATTATAGAAGCTTCAAGACCAAACCACAGACAGATTGGTCTTACAGGGACCTTGTCTCTGAAGCCACGTATCCCCTCCGACAGAAACTCTGTCTTCATCTGGAGGAAGGGGGGCACGGGTCAGGCAAAAGGACCTAGCTAACACACTCCAGTTGTCTAAATCATTTTTTGCTCTTAAATTTCTTTCTCTCTCTTGACTTTTTTTTTTTTTTTGCTTCAGTTCATATGTCCTTAAAATCAACTTAACGAGCCGTCTTTCTCTCTCTGGGCAGCCTGGTGTTTAGCTAATTAATGTTTGCAGCACACTTTGATAGCCCTAACTGAATGGTACTAATAAAGAAAGAGCAGAGAATTGCTACAGTAAAAGAAATGTCAAGCGTGTTAATTTCTCCCCAGCAGCCCCACACCCTAGGAACCCTGCTTTTATATGTCTTTGAACCTCAAAGCTTTAATGGGTATTGGAAACACTTGGGGGTCTCCTGCTTTCTGAACAAGGGCAAGCATTTCCTTCCAGAAACATTGGAGAATTGTTCTCTTTCTTATAAACATGTTCATTGCCAGCCAAAATAACCAGAGGGGGTGTCTACAAGGAACATTGAGCCAGGCAATAGTGGCACACGTCTTTCCGGCAGATCTCTGTGAGTTCGAGGACAGCCTGATCTACAGAGCAAATTCCAGGATAGCCAAGGCTGCACACAGAAACCCTGTCTTGAAAAACTAAAAGAAAGAAAGAAAAAAGAATATTGGTACTTATTTAGGAATAGCGGGACAGTGTTGTGAGAATGGGTGCCATAGTCAATGATGGCTATATTCAAAGTTGAGTTTTTAAGATCAAAGTAAGGAAATTTGCATGTGCTCCTTTATCACAAGTCTTACTGGTCTTAATAACCAGAGGGAGGAGTTGGCATTCACTTACTGGTGGAGGTGCCATCGCTGGCCTTTGTTTGGCAAGTATTATGTGGAAGCATTTTATATGGATTGCTACAGCTTTAAAGATAAAGGTAACCTTGGTACAGAAACCTTGGCATGTGTAGTGTACCTAAAGCATGGTGTGAGCAGAGGATGAAAAGATATTTCTTGTGGGCCCTAGAAAGCCCTTATGAAGGTGTGTGTGTGTGTGCGTGTGTGTGTGTGTGTGTGTGTGTGTGTAAGTGGGAGTCAGGCATGCGTTCTCCCTTTTCTATAAACCTGACTGTAATTTTGTCTGAGTTGAATAAGACCAAATTTGTCTTGGTATCATCAAATTGCACAGCATCAAGAGCTCCGTGTTAAGAAGCAATTTAGCAACATCCAGCAAGGTGTTCAAACCCTATAACCAAGTCACCAGTGGTCATTTTAGCTACCAACTGCTGAGCAATTGCCACGCAGATGTTCACTGCGACATTGTCTTTAACAGACAACTATAAATGATCTCTTACTCTACAGTACAGAATGGACTGGCAATGGTTTGTCACAAATAGTTTAAAAAAAGTTGGAATTAAGCCAAGCATGGTTGCATGTGCCTGTGAGCCCAACACTTGGAAGACTAAGACAGGACGACCATGAGTAGATAGCAAGGCTCTTCCTCAAAACATAAAAACAAAAGCAAGTGAACGATGAGTAAAAAAAGAAGAACAAATGAGAGAGAGAGATGAAATTAGTTCTGTATCCTCAATGGATCAATCTCAAAGCAATACTCACAGCACTGAGTAGAGAACTTGGCAAAAGAATGTTTAGTATCTTAAGCATATAAAATGTTATGTTTGGATTTGCAGGGATGGAGGAAAATTCTAAAAATAGGCATGGGCTTGAAATATACCAATGTGGTGAGGGTTAGGGGAAGTGGGAATAGGTAGACCTTGGGGACTCTAGGTAGAACATGGGGTAGTCACAGGGTTCTAGGTAGACATGGGGGGGGGGCGCTAGGTAGACATGAAGGTTCTAGGTGGACATGAAGGTCCTAGGTAGACAAGGGGGCTCTAAGGTAGACCATGAGAATTCTAGGGAGACCATGGGGACTCTAGGTAGATGTGGGGTTCTATGTGAACATGAGGGTTCTAGGTAGACCATGAGGGTTCTAGGTAGACACGGGAACACTAAGTAGACATAGCGGCTCTAGGTAGTCATGGCGGCTCTAGATAGACATGGAGACTCTAGGTAGACATGGCGGCTCTAGATTATCTTTGAGGGAGAACATGTCTGTGAAAAGAAAGATTCATGTATCCTCCTATAATTTGAGAGAGAGAAGAAAGACGGCCAAAGTCTCGTGATCTAGTCATGAAAGAGGAATTAAATCAGAGGCCCCATCTTCTTTTTGCTTCTCTCCAGTGCTGGAGTGGGCAGGACCGGGACATTCGTTGCCTTGGACCGGATCCTCCAGCAGTTGGATTCTAAAGACTCTGTGGACATTTATGGAGCAGTGCACGACCTAAGACTTCACAGAGTTCACATGGTCCAGACTGAGGTAAGAACTCTAAGCTGAAGGACACCAGTGCCCTTCCCCACACCTTACCCATTATCCCCACCCCAAAACTGTCCAGAACACCTTAGCAAGAGAGGAAAGTGGATATATGTGCTTTCTAGGACCTCATATTTTGAAGCAAATCTCAGTGACCTTCAGCACAAGGTATGTTATTTACTGAGCATCTCAGAGAAGACTTCATTTAGGTAACAGGAAGAAAGATGGAATACTTTAGACACGCATTATATGTGGGGACTGGCTAGACCAGCCTACTTAGGAACTCATTTTAAGGCACAGGTACTTTCTTAGAGAAGTTTCTAATCTCTTCTCTCCCCTAGATCTGCCCCCTACACATACATCCTCCATCTCTGGATACATCGAGGGTTGTATATCTATCAGGAAGGTTCTAGGTTTCCCTTTGAGCCATGCTTTGAATTTGCAGATATTCTGAAGATTCTGTCCCATGGTATTCATTTTCATTTCCAAGCTAGGAAGCTGAGGCCCATAGGAAGCTGAGGCCCACAGGCTAAAAAATGTTTGCACAAAATCCATAGCCATGAAATGGACAAGCTTGGACCGTGTTCTGGAAAATCTTAGCCTTTGACTACCAAGCCCCACGGCCCCACAGTCAAGTCTATACACACACCTCATGTGCATTAAGCATGTGCATTGCTCCCTCAATAACACCTTCCAAAGCTCAGGTTCTCTTCTCATTAGATTTCCTAAGTTTTTGTTTAAGTAACCCAGGGGGTGAATGGCAAGATCTTAAAGGCTTTCTGTGGATGAAAATTTCCATGTACCACCACAGTAGCCATGGAAACCACACAGCAGCTGTGCTCCACAACCAGCATCTTGCAGCAAGGTTCCCTTTGAGCCCTGTTGAGCCCACAATTCTAAAATCAACTCCCCCCCCCAGCCCAATTATTTCTGGTGCCGCGTATATTAATATCCTATGGGACTCACCTTCTGTGTCAGCTTTGGCAAAAGCCTGGTGTCTTTGCCTCTCCTGCAGGCAGAACCTACTTGCCAGATCTGCTACCACCATTGTATTACAGCCCCTCCTGAAGTATGTGTGTATTTGTCAAAAAAAAACTTCCTTTCTGCTCTCTCTCTCTCTCTCTCTCTCTCTCTCTCTCTCTCTCTCATTTGTGTGTGCATGAGGAGAGAGAGAGAAAGAGAGATACATGAGGATGCCAGAAGAGGCCAGAAAATGACAGTAGTGACTCGCCTGGAATTGAGGCTGGTTGCAGGTGGCTGTGTACCAACCATCGTGGGCGCTGGAAACCAAACACTGATCCTCCTCAAGCGCAGGAAGTGTTCTTAAGCATGAAGTCATTTCCCAGGACCTCACTATGCAGCCCAGGTTAGCCTAGAACTTGCCATCCTCAATCCCCAGAGCAATAAGGTTGAAAGCATATGCCACCATGACTGGCTGATACTTTTGTTCTAACAAATTTTCTACCATACTCTCAATGTTTCGTTATGAGATTGGTTAGGGGCATACAAAACTTGGGCTAGGTTTGGTTTAGTGGTAGAGTGCTTTCCTATTATTCGCAGGACCCTCGGTTTGCTCACCAGTACCATGGGTTGAGGGCAGGGGTGCAACTAGGAGAAGTTAGATAAAGAATCTGCATTAACCCAAACCCCAGCTCCCACAAACAACAGCATCATGCTATTTGTTCATCTGTACCTCACACCAATTCTCACTTTATAAGGCAAATCTGTTATACTATTTCATCCACAAACAAATCATTATATAAATATATGTGTGTATGTATGTGTGTGTATGTGTGTGTGCCTTTCTGCATATATGTCTCTCTTGTCTCTGCCTGTCTCTCTCTTTACACATATATATACATATACATATATTTACATATATGTAGATATATGTAAATAGATAGATACTCTTCAACATCATGACCACCATGCCATTTATCACACTTAACAATTTTCACTGTAATCCCTAGCAAGTATTTAAATATCCCCACCCATTTTTTAAATTAGTTCATTTATTTTATTCTATTTTTTCAAGACTAGGTTTTTCTGTGTAGCCCTGACTGTCCTGAAACTTTTTTTGGTAGAGTAGGCTGGCCTCAAACTCAGAGATACTCCTGCCTCTACCTCCCGAGTGCTGGGATTAAAGGTGTGCACTACTACACCTGGCTCCTACCTATCTTTTAAAAATCATTACTTTGGTGATATTTAAGATAATCATCAGTCTGACTACAGGGCAAGGCCAGTTCAGGCACCCTCTCCTCTATTGCTTAGGGTCTTAACTGGGGTCATCCTTGTGGATTCCTGGGAGTTTTTCTAGAGCCAGGTTTCTTGCTAACCCCATAATAGCTCCTTCAATCAAGATATCTTTTTATGAGGAGGGGAGGGAGTGGAAATTTAGATTGGTGTTTTTTTTAAGTAATAAAATAGTAATAGTAAAAAACATTACATTTTGTTTAAAAAGAAAGAAAGAAAGAGAGAAAGAAAGAAAGAAAGAAAGAAAGAAAGAAAGAAAGAAAGAAAGAAATCTGGCTGTCCTTAAAGCCCCAGATCGACTTCTTTCACTTACTTGGAGTATCTTTATACCTATGTTTCGTCCATAATAATCCTTCCCACTCGTTTTTAATGCCCTTTACTGGTCAGAGAGCCCAGCTCACTGTCCTGTAGGCTTTCATGGTGGAAGTGTGTTCCTCTGGTCCTTGTGGTTTGAGTCAGGTGGCCGTTACATCCAGCGGCTTCTTAGGCTGTGGTCCTACAGTCACAGGGCTCCCCCAGGCTGTTGCTGGACACCTCACATCCACGCCGCTTGGTGAATTGAGACAAAAGAAATGGTGGCCTCACTGGTAGGACCCCAACCACTCATCCTTAGGGTTCCCAGTAACTATGCACTTCACAGTGATTGCGATCTAGCTATCATTTCATTTAGGGGATAGAATTTATATAACATATCTTAACTGTCATCCTTCCCCACCCCGGGAGCACAAGGTCTTAGCAGGAGAAACTTCGCTGTCTCTGTGTCAATTTTTAAAATCTATTTATACAAATGAGCAAATACCCTGCTATTATGTTGCTCAAAAGTCACAGCGGTGTTTCACTTCAGTAGGCATTTCTACAAACTCAGACTATAATTACTCTGTAAGAGGGAAGAAGTAGCTAACACACTGTAATCTTAAATATGCATGCACATGCGTGTGTTTAGGCTCTTCATTAGTTTCAGAGACAACTTGGATTACGCATCGCTTCCATGAACTGGTCCAACATCTTGGGCTGCACATTGGCCCCAAGCAGGATCTCTGTTAGAACCATCACTGTCTGGCATCCAGAGCAGAGGCAGCATCCATGGACCAAAGCTCCTCCCCCTCCATGAACATCCCTCTCCTTTCCCCTTTTGTCTTCTCTTCCCACTGCTCTGAAAGCTTGGTGACCTTGTTTCTCTGCTTGTATTTTCAGCATCTGAGCTCCAGACGAAGGAAGCTTTTTATTTCTTTCAATCTTCACTATTGGCTACATTATTCCTCCACTCCCAGGAACACACCGCTGTTTCTCAACCCTTATTCTCCTTCCCTGTGTCCTTACCTTTTATCTAAGGACTCGCTTGCTGTGCACTTCCTCATACACGTTACACATATCTCCAACTCAGTGTGCTTAACACTAAACTCATTGTTTTAGGGGAGGTATCTGTGTACATAGTGTGTTTATGTGTGTGTGTGTGTGTGTACATGTTTCTTTCTCTGTGCATATTCTCATGTGTTGGGGGAGTGTTGTGTGCATATAGAAGCCAGAAGTGAGCATTGAATGTCTTTCTCCATTGCTGTCCCTATTGTTCTTTTTTAAAAATAATGATGTTGGGATGTCCTGGGCAGCTCGCAGAGCAGCTGCTAGTGGCTGTGGGTCCCCGCAAGATCTCCAGGGTGGCAGCGCCATGCGGCCGGGGGAGTCAGGGTCCCCGGGCGAGCAGCAGGGTCAGGCGGCTGGATGCAGTGGACGGCAGAGTAAATGGACATAAGGCTATACATAAAGCTAGACGTTTATTACTTAAAGAAAGGGAGACATAGACAAACATAGAGAGAACAAAGACACACGTACATACGACACGAAACAAACACACACATACACACACACACACACACACACACACACACACACACACACACACCAGAGAGAGAGAGAGAGAGAGAGAGAGAGAGAGAGAGAGAGAGAGAGAAGATGGCGGCGAGGGAGGTCAGAAGTGGCTGGGGTGGGCGTGGTTAGTTCTTAAAGTGTCCCAAAGTAATAACAGTCCCCCTTATTTTTTGAGACAAGGTCTCTCGCTGATCCCTCACTCATTCATCTTGATGGTTGGCCAGTAAACCTCATGGATACAACCCTCCCTACCTCCTCATTGCTAGGACTATAGGGCTGCACCAGTACACTTGACTTTCTATTCGAGGGCTGGAGTTCCAAGTTCAAGTCCTCCTGTTTATAGAGCTGTACTGAGCTGGTGCCACAGAGTCCACACATTGGCCCAAGCCAGAGGACTGTTTCTTTACCTCAGGTCTGACTCATAAAAGCCAAAGGCCTGCCTGTCTTGCTTGGCTATGTGAGTGGGCATGGGTGCAGAAGGGACTAGCTCACCATCCAATGCGGTGGGCGATGGCTTCAGAAAAGAAGAAAGAAATTTCTGAGCCCTTGCTTAATTTGTCTGAGTCCATCGTGACAGGTGATCCTAACTTTCTTGTACCTTGAGATCTTGGAATACAAAGGGACATGGGTCATCCTAATTTTTGGCAACTATATCAAACCGCGAGGTGATCATTGTAATTTTTGGTGAATAGATCAAACCAGGAGGCTTTCTAAATGAAGAGGCAATAGTGGGACTTGCAAATGTCTTCCTCTGTTTATCTTTCTGCCTTGGGGCAGATTTGCAGCCTAACTCAGGCAGACCCTTTGATACAGTAAAAACCTTGTTGAGGGAGGCTAGTCGGACATTCTGACTGCTCTCATGAGAAGAAATGCAGGGGCATTATGGGATCACGTGTCTCAGGTCCCATTTAAGAGACTATTCTGAGGGTCTCCTGTTCAACCTGTATTTTAGCCACACTGGACACCCCACTTGCTTTCAAGGTATCGTTGTCTTTCAAGGTCACCTTTTCTTTCTAGTTTGATATTTTCTTCCTCCAAATGCTATCAAGAGCTTCCTGCTGCATGAACTTTCATAAACAATTCTAGTTCATCATCTTCTAGGTATGGATATATGTCACGTTCTGCCCTTTGACTAAACATTGCTCTCAGGAATGGCTACACATATAAAATCATAAATCCCGCATACTGCTACAAAGATTGATGGAATTAAATGAAATGGAATATGTCAGTGCTCAGCCAGGGCTTCCCCAATTAGAAAAAAAAAAATCTTGTGTGACTTGAGGCTTACATTTTTTTTTCTATTTTTCATTAAGAATTAAGTGGGGGTACAGTAACAACTTGATGATTTTTGAAGTAATCAGTTTTTGAAGGGACATCCTATTGGGAAAAGAGAAGTTGATATTTAAGACAAGGCAAATTAATACAGAGTAATTAGTTTCAAAGCCCATGGTGGATCACTGTTGAAAAATTTATTGCTAAGTTATGGCCCGGGTATAACAGAGTTCCTTCACAGCTTACCTCTTTCACACACAAGCAATTTAATTAAAAATCGGAGTTCTGTGGGGCTTGAGAGATGGCCCAGCAGTCAGGAGTGTCTACTACTCCTTCAGAAGATCCGGGTTTGGTTCCCAGCACCTATATGATGTTAACACCCAGTAACTACAGTTCCAGGGAACCGACCCTGTCTTCTGGCCCCCGAGGGCTCCTGCACATACATGATGCACATAAACTCAAACAGGCGCGCACACACATACAGATAATCAGCCAGTTTTCCAAAGGTCAAGGTGGCTTAAGACCAAGTAGAATCTGTGAGAAGAAAAGCAAAGGATAGTTCCTAATACTGGAGCAAGCCTTGCTGATGGCTGGTTTCTGTGATGACTTCGTTAAGCTGGTACTACAGCTCGGTGGTAGAGCTCTTACCTCATATGTATATGGCCCTGAGTTCAATCCCTAGCACCACAAAAGACCAAAAGCAGAGGAGGGCAGAGGATGTAGCCCAATTGGAGAGTGCTTGCCCAGCATGCAAAAAGTTCTGAGTTCATTCTTCAGCTTGGGGTCAAACTGGGTGTGAGGAGCCAGGCCTGTGTTCCCAGCACTAGAGAGACAAGATGGGAAGATTGAGAGTTCAAGGTCAACCCTGACTACTTCCCCTTACGTGCTCTCTGACTTCCACAGTGTCAGTACATCTATCTGCATCAGTGTGTAAGAGACGTCCTCAGAGCAAGGAAACTGCGGAATGAGCAAGAAAACCCCCTGTTTCCGATCTACGAAAATGTGAACCCAGAATACCATAGAGGTAAGAGTTAACCTCGCTGGCTTTTAGATCACCTGTCCTGAAGGTCATTTTTCAAAATGCACTCAGTCTGGAAACTCGTCCTAGCTCAGTGCTCCTCCAGCCTGAACCTCCCATTTCTTCTTCTCTCCAAAAGACGCCCCCAAAGTAGCAACAGAGAGGAGAGGCAGAACAGAGAGGGCTACCACACTAGACCAGAAACTTAGTACACTAACAATGTTTTCATTGCTGACATGATACCTGGGGCTCACACATGGCCGGCGAATGCTCTGTCAATGACCTATACCCCAGACTCTCAGCCTCTGCCTGCCTACAGAGTGGTCTCTACGAAAGAGTCCCTTGAACATTTTTTTTGTAAGAGATAAGACTGACCATGGAGGAAGAACGCACTGAAACCATAACTGGAATCGATAACAAAATTGTTGCGGTGAAGAATTCGGCATCTGGGTTTTCAGTGTCTCTCACGCATTCCCATCTGTGACTGAGTCTTTTTCCTACTTTTTTAAGTAGACAGAATATACTTTGTGCACAACGCCTTTCCAGTTTCAGGTCGGAGGGAAACCCAGTGATGCAACAGAGGATTACACTAGTCGGCTTGGCGTTATCATAGCAAAACACGCGAGGTAGCTGACGTTACCCAGCAGAAAGTTTATTTAGCTCACACATTTGAAGATTCAAGGGCATGACTTGTGTGTCAGCTCAGCTCTGGTGAGGACCTCATGGTGAACGGTAAGCAGCAATGGCGGAGTGCCAGCTGGGGCAAATGGTCACATCTCAGGCCAAGAGACAGCTGGGAGAGGCAAGACCAAGTCATCCCTCGAGAGCGTTCTTCCAAAGACTCACCATCTTCCAAAGGTTTCTAACATTGTCACCCTGCAGACCAAGCATTTGACGATAATGGACCTGTGAAACAGACGTCGTATTCAAGCCATAGCAGGGACTAGCTACACCAAAGCACTTTGACTTATAATCACACAGTGCCGTCATTAAGAACAGGTTCTTTTGTTGTGTGAGGTGAAGGCTATGCTGCCTAGATTGACCTTGGAGTCCTATGCCCAAGCATTCCCTCTATCTCAGCCTTGCCATTAGCAAGATTATGGGTCCATGCCATCACACCTGGCTTCAGTAGTATCACAAGGTGAATACCCTTGCAAGAAGCTTGTCGTGGTTGCTGTAACAAAATACTTGAGACTAGATATTTTATAAAGATTAGAGGCTTGGGATAGGGATGTAGCTCAGTGGTAGAGCTTATGCTTAATAGGCATAATCACAAAGGTAAAAAAATGAGAGAAAGAAATGGAGCCCATGAGAAGGCTGATCTCATGCATTGGGCCTTTGATAGGGTCCACTATAGCTGGTCATATCACATTAGATGATGATGATGATGATAATGATGATGGTGATGATAATTGTGTGTGTGTCTGTGTGTGTCTGTGTGTGTGTGTGTGTGTGTGAGAGAGAGAGAGAGAGAGAGAGAGAGAGAGAGAGAGAGAGAGAGGAGATCATGAGGTGAGAAAGAAAGTGGGGAACTAGGAAGGAACATGCTTGCTCTTTGATAACAACTGTGAAACCCAACCCACCAACAATAATGTCTCTGTGATCTCTGCGACCTGGTCTCCTCTCACTTGGCCCACTTCCTACAGGTCCCCTCACTTTCCAGGATCATCACACTGGAGACCAAATGGAGTGACAAATCATAGCTTAACCATGGCATAAGTAATGAAATGCAGAATGTATTTCAACAACCAGGAGCAGCGTCTATAGGGACAAAAAATGAACGGGTGGAAATCCGACAGTCAAATTAGTAACTCTGAACAACAGACAATCAGTTGATGTTTTTCTATTATTTTATAAATTGTCTAGGACAAGAATGAACTATCTTTCAAATAAAAAATTCAAGAGTAAAAAAAAATACAAACTTCACTAGGCACACTTTCATCAAGGGTAACAGGCAAGAAGAGACTTCCTGCCCTCTGGCCCACTGTTAAGGCCAAAGGTACCATACAGCGTGGTTCTAGGTGGGAAGGGGTCTTATAGACCTAGGTTCCTTGCCAAGGGTCTGAGATCTACTCACACGTTTCTCTTGGCAGACATGCCTTCTGCCCTGCCTTCTCTGTTTGAGCTGACAATGTCAATTCGGTTGAGATCTTCTAAGGTTCACTTGGCTCTCAGCATTTTCCATTTCTGCCCACCTCCCCATTCCCCCCTCACTCCCCCACATACACCACCCCACACACCCCACCCCTAGCAGCCATCATGTTATTTAGTGAGCTGTAAAGTACCAAACAGAGAGTTATTTAGGGGAGTGCTTTGTAAATCAGATAATCTTTTGTGTTGTAAATAATAACCCCCTAATTAATCCGGTGAAGTAAATTAAGGCTTTTGCATGTCAGTTTCTTTAAGAAACTCCGGGATGGTGGGGTAAGATCTTAGGGGTTCCTTTGTCTTGTGCTAACTTGTCTGAGAATCCTTTAAAACTAATCTTGGATGTGCCTAAAAGAAGCTAACTCTGGGTGCTGCGAAACAGATAACCACCATCTTAAAGGCTGGGATTCTGAAAGCAACTCTGGAACTGTCTAGTGTTGAGAAGCTATAGTACCCGGGGCAAGTTACTCTGCCTCTGGGCATGAAGCTCCCTCTGTACCTCAGAGGCAGGACAGGGGCTCAGGAATCATTCCCAAGTCCAGGAATCTGCATTTCTAAATGGGGTGGGCTGGCCCCAAGGCGAGGCTCTATCCTGAATTGTGTGGAACTTTAGAGACGTCCCCCAGGGTCTTCCGGGTATAAATGTCCTACACAGGGTAGCAGGGGCAGTTTTTCTATGTCCCTCTACAGCAGTGGTTCCCAACCTTCTCATGCTACGACCCTTTCCCACACCTCATGTTGTGGTGACCCCCAACCATAAAATTATTTTTTGTTGCTCCTGCATAGCTGTAATTTTGCAACTGTTGTGAAGGGTAATATTTTTGGAGACAGAGGTTTGCCAAACGGCCATGACCCGAAGGTTGAGAACCACTGCATTACAATCTCTGACCACACTATTTTTGCTTCCAGATGCAATCTATTCGAGACATTAAGGATGTACTGAAGATGCCCTGGATAAAAGTTTTTCACTGTGTGACTTCTCAACGCCAGACCTTTGCTTCATGGCCTGCGGAGGTGCCAGCTATTTCTGTTGATACTATGTATAATTTATTAATCTGGAGAGTGTTAAAGAATTTATGTAATTTAAAGGTAACAGATATTATTGTATATACTTGTAGTTTCTCCTGTAAATATGTATTTTTCATAATGTTTAATATTAAGCTTTATATAATACTATTTTTCCACACGGAAGTGTTCATGACTTGTTCTGCATGAGCTGTTTCACCCCGGTATGACAGGACTACTGGCCACATGTGTGCAGGGAGAGCTGCGAGGATAATCCCTGGGGCTGTGCTGTCTGCTTTCCTTGATACCCACCGGGTGAGCAAAGGGCCGAGCTGGAAAGAGCATAGCATAAGGCTGGCTTTGCCAAGCTGCTGCCTTATGAACGAAGCCTGGGGTCTACAGACTCTGACGGTCAGAGAAAGAGTAGGGCCGCGGCTAAACCTCGGTGGTAGAGCATATGCCAAGAAATTCAAATTAAATTTAAAAACTGAAGGCCAGGCAGCCCCAAAGCAGAGCTGGGTGTGTGTTCTAAACCAGAAGCTGTTGATATGAATCTGTCCAGGGTTCCAAGCCATGGTCGGCTCAAGGACCATGAAACTGGCAGTGACTGCAGGGCTGGGGACTCTGGTAGAGAAGGACACTAACAGACGAGATGAATACCTAGTGATAGCAATGCCAGCTGTCCCTCTGATTGGAGCCTCCTGCACAAAGCAGGGCGCATCCCTGCAGCATTCAGACTTGGTTTTCCTTTGGAAAGAGCTATAGTGGTAGGTCACGCCCCTGACCCAAGAAAGCATGATCTTTTCCAACATCTTCTTAAGTCTGCTGAAACAGTGAAACTTTGCCACACACCCTACCAATTTTATCTTTCAAATCTGTTGACTGTAAAAATTCCAGTGATGGGGCTGGAGAGATGGCTCAGCGGTTAAGAGCACTGGCTGCTCTTCCAGAGGTCCTGAGTTCAATTCCCAGTAGCCACATGGTGGCTCACAACCATCTGTAATGAGGTCTGGTGCCCTCTTCTGGCCTGCAGGCCTACATGAAGACAGACTATTGCATACATAATAAACAAATAAATATTTAAAAAAATTCCAGTGACTTAGAAAGTGGACATTGAGCAAATTAAGACCCAATTCCTAGATCTTTTCTGAGAAAAATCCCAGAAAGAATCCTCGTGGTTGCCTGAGTGAGAAGCCACATTTGTTGGTTTCGGGGCTTCCTTTGCAGAAACATCACGTTTCTCTTGAACATATGTGGTTTTGCTACAAATCATAAACTCCCATAACAAAAATGGATATAATTGGCCTAACAATTGAAGATAGCTAACTATACCAAAAATCATTGCAAATTTAGCTTGTAAATATACTAGGATATTCCTAATTACATAACTCCACACCCATGCTGGAGATGTCTTTTGGGGTACTTGAAGTGTATAGAAATAGAGGAACGGTTCCTAAGGGTCCCCGTGAGCAGCAGTGAAGATTCAGTCCTCACAGTGTCTCTGTGTGCTGTGCCCTTGTGAAAATGGCAGCGTTAGGCTCTGATCCTGTATCCAGGGACTCATCAAACCTTCGGGACAGAAAAAAGGGGAGCAGAGGAGTAAGCTTGGAGATGTATAACTAAGGAGAAAATGGAGGTCAGACATGGTTTTGGTGTGGCGTCTGTTAGGCATCGTTTTTTTTCTTAGAAGAAAAAGGAAAGTTGGGCTGAAGGGGCTGCTGGAAGGTAGCATGCCTGTGCAACCGTCCAGAGCTCCCGCCCTCCCCCCTCAAGCAAGGAAAACACAACAGGGCTGTAAACCGATGTTGCTTGGCGCAAAGCAAGCTGGTAACCCGGAAGGCGACGTTCGTTTCATCTTTTCATTCATTGAGAAAAGGCCTGGCAAGTGCCCGGAACCTCTTCGGTGCGGTTTCAAAACCTGTTTCCTTGTCAGCAAAGAGAACGTATGACAGTGAAATTAGCTTTGTAACTGTGTTGACTGGAACTTACTAGAGGGCCCAGGCGAGGGCACAGCGGTCACCTTCCGTACGGTGCCTGCTGGCAAGTGCTGAAGCCGTTTCAATAGCAAGCCACTAGACGCGGAAGAGAAAGTAATTAAAATTGCACGAACCAAGCATTATAACCACAAAACACCTGCACATCTGTGACCATAAGTAACACTCCTGCCCTCAAAGCATTTGGGGGAGAATCAGAATACAGAAATGAATCCAGCCACCCAACCAGGGGAAACCATACATTCTTGTCGCCTATTCCGGAAAGCACTGATTCCTCCTTCTCAAGAGTAGTTTTAACCCCCCCTCCCCCACCTAGCAACAAACACTTTGCTATGCAGTCTCTCCCTCCAGAAGATGAAATACAAATCCAGGTGATCCGTTCATCGACCGTAGCAGGCAGCCAGAACGGAAATGTAGCTACTGGTAGATTAGTACTTTGCCTGGCGTGTGAGAGGCCCTGGGTTTAATCTCAAGTACCACAAAATAAGCAAGGGGAGGAAAGAAAAGCTTTCTTTGCCGTTCGTTCGCTCCATCGGATGCATCTCCGCTTAATTGCATCATGTGGCTGTGTCTCCGAAAACACTCCACTTCCTGCCTTGGCAGGCCTCCTGCCTGCACCTGAGTGCCGCTCTTTAATCAGCGAGGCTTCAATGCCCTTTGGAGGCTATCAAATCTTGAGAGAGTCTGTTTTGCATCCTAATAATTATTTACCCAGGTTCCTTATAATTAACTCCTTTAATCTCTTCACATTAAATCAATTTTAACTCCTCAATCTACCTTTCTCTGGAAAGCTGCCAACTTTTCAGACTTTTCAGAGACGCCCCTCTCTGGGCTTGCAAATGTTCATCCTGAGGAAGTTCCCACCCGTCAGCAGCCAAGTTCCAGGACTTCTCCCCCGCTTGCCCCTTCTTCCTACCGAAGAGCACCTGGGCCAGTGAGATGTGATTTTATCTTCTGTTCATCTCATCATCTTTCACTCATTGCTAACATTTCCTATAATGCTCAGCATTATAGGAGAGTGATTAAGACTTAATTTTTCAACATTAAAATGGCAGCAATACAGCGATTTGGGGTCAGTTATATTTAGGAGGCTCTGTAATTAATTTTGTTATTACCTCTTGGAAGAAGGCCCAAAATTGATAGGAGAAAATAATATGAAATGATTTAACAGATGTCCAGCAACACAAAAATGGGTCTCGCATGTTATACTTCACACGGCTTCTCTTATCTTAGTGTTAAGGATCTAACTGCTCATATTTAACACTTTCTGCTCCCTTTGCAAAAAAAAAAAATCCCAGGGTGATCTGCCATGTACTAAATTCTTGCTCGGTTAGCTAATGGGCATTTTGGACGGTGGAATCCTTGAAGCTACAAGATCTGTATATTTGCCTCCAAGTCCCAGTCATGGAATACACTAGAATTTTTGTTCATACAAAGCTACTCAGACCAAACCTGACCACGCAACAATAACAAATAATTAGCTGCTTGGTGATAGAAACAGTTCAGAGATTTTTCCAAGTTCTGTTTAACTGGAAAAAAAAAATGGCTACAATCGACCAGACAAGAGCGGTAAGAAGGCACGAGCAGCCCCAGCTCGTCAGCTCTCACGCCCGAGGAGTGGACAGAGAAATAGCATGCCTGCTTGAGTGAGTGCGCCGTGACCATTCCAAAGATGTTTAATCCAAGCTTCAAAAACGCATCCAGTGTTGAAAGAATGTTTTACAGAAAAGGAAACTTTAAACCATGGCTGCAGAGAGGAAGTAAAATGACGCAAGGAAGGAAAAATATTGGAGAGGAGGTGAGCAAAGCTGACATCAGAAAGACAGGATGGCATGTCTGCCTTCTTGGGGTGGTGCTTTGAAAATACCATCATGTATTTATTTCTATTAAAGCAGATAGATCGGCCATCCCTAAGCCCCCGATCTAACACTCAAGATGCTCCAGAGTCCAAGGCTTCTGTGAGCACTGACACAGTAGGACATTCTACAACTGACCTTGTGTGATGCTTCAGACAGAACACAGGTACATCAAAACAACCATGTAAATTTACTGTCAGCTACATATACAGGGTATGTGAGGGGCATAAATGAGTTTCCTATTTAGACATGGGATCCATCCTCAATATTCAAATCACAGTTATTAAAATATTCCAAACTCACTTTTAAAATCAAGCAGATTCTGATCACCAACATTTCAGGTAAGGGACCCTTCACCTGTCTAATTACTGTTGGGATTCTCTGGGACCATGTCAGTCATGTTATTCAGCAGATTTGGTAATTAAATTGGTTCATTTGGTTTTTTTTAACTAACCAGGTGTGTGACTCAGTTTCCAGGATCTGTCACTGCAGACACACAGACACAGCACCTTAGTGTCTTATCGTGCAGGGTAACTTTGAGAGTGTTTGGCCATTGCAGTTGAGATTCAGGGTGACAGTTGATACAGCTGTGATAACAACAACAATAACAACAACAAAAATGTTCAAATGTGTTTAAGTGAAAACATTTCTGGCTGAAAGAACACTTGACTTGTATAGAGGCTTCCTTGGAATAAATGTATGCTTTCTATTTTTTTATAGATTGTCTATATAGATGACATTGATTAAATAAGGAAATTATTGGTGGATGCTCCCAAAGTAAAGGTTTATGTCATGGAAATAAAAGATATATTAAAAGATTTACCAAAGACTATTTTTAACCTATATGCCAATGCACTTGATCTTATATAAGACACCAAAGTAAGTCTTTCAAAACTGTGAATTATGTCAGACAAATGTAACGTGTCCCTTCTTAGAACAGTCACAAGAAGGATTAGTTTGGGCTGTTTTATGCCTCAAATAATTTCTTTTAAGGAATGCCATCCTTGCACCAACAGCAAGCTTTTCCGTTACAACTGAGATGTATTTTGGTAGCTATGTGTGTAACTAAGCATTGCATCGAGAAAGGAGCACCTGCGCTTGTGTCTCTGGAAATCTAGCAGGGATGACCAGCCTCCATCAGCCAGTGAGTGGGAAGGTCTAGACCAGAGCTCAGCATCTTTCTGGTCTCTACCATACTGACAAGAGAAGGCACCAATGCCCCCACTTAAAGAGCACTTCATCCTGCCCAGTGTTTGTGAGGCTTAAAAATTCTCGGGCTTATAAATTCTCCAAGAACAAGGAGCATGTTTGTCTCCTCCACTTCCGTTGTGTAGTGAGTAGTTCACAGCTCATACGTACCCGGCATGCACAGTTCAGAGTGGAAGTACGCTTTGGATGTTAGATCGTGCCTGGTAATCCTAGAGTCCACAGAAGTGGAGCTAGCTGCTTCTTCATCTGTATGAAGCATAATATATAATGTAAATATATCCAGCAGCTGAACTTATTATGTTCTATAATAGAGCACTTTCATGGTTTCAAAAATCATTTACATGTTCTCTGCAAATCTAGTTAAGATGGCAATAAATCTATTTTTTTCATACCAGAGCATCTACCCACACTACTGCGTCTGTAACCAACGTTGTTTGAGCAAAGAACCTCACTGGCCTTTCTATTTAAATAATGTATGTGCTTAATATATTTTCAGATTTGTAATTGTGGTTAAAGAACCTATATGGAAACTTGCACACACCCTCACCAATGTCGGAATAAACCTGATGCTTGTTGAAAGTGAGTGTCCTGTCTTCTAATTGACTACTTCCTGCTTCTCACTTTGTATCCTACCCTGCTCCAGGAAAAGGCCAGAAGTGGCTGTTTCTAAATTGGAAAACCCTCACAGGCCATCATCATGACGTCTGTGACTGTCTTAACCCGTGTTCCTGCAGCTGGTCTTAATCCGTGTTCCTGCAGCTGTAGTGGGGACCTGGTTTCCCTAGGGCACTGGGAACACGTAGAAGGTGCTCTGCGGTTGGCTGTCTCTGCCTGGATGCTTGTTTTCACTTCTGTAGCTCATTGGTAGCCACAAATGTCATCCATGACCAACAACACTGGTTCCAACCTCGGCGGGTGTGACTGGGAACCCTCGGGAAACTCCGCACCTCAGCGGTCAGTGCGGCATTAACTAAAGAGTCGCTGTGCTGACTTCTGGAATCCTGAGTTTGCCCTTGCGCCTCTTCCGCATTTCAGCGGAAAGGTCAGTTTCTTTCACGGCTCCTGAATTTAGTTGGTTTTATGTTTTGTTTTGTTTTGTTTTGTTTCATTGTATTTTGTAACATCTCACTCTAAAAGCCTTCATTTTTTTTAAAAAAAGTATAATAACAGATTCACATTTAAGACTATTAAAGCAATCCTTCTAAGAAGTTTCTAGGCTCAGATGATTGCTGTAGGAAAGTCCTTTGTTTTATGAGGTAGGACTATTTGGTGTTTTTCACTAAAGGGTCTGCTTGGCAGAATTTGTTCCTGAAAAGAACAACATGGCAAAAGAGACAGCTCAGCAAAGGAATACTGGTGACCTGCATTTGACCCCAGAATCCATGTGGTAGGAGAGAGCCAATTCCTAAAAGTTGTTCTTTGACCTCCAAGAGTGAACCATGACCCTCCTGTATCTCCCAAATATAAAAACAAATTTATAGACATACACACACACAACATACACACACAACACACATATATACACACATACATACACACACATACACAATATGTTATAAACCTTATCAAAGCTAAGTACATCAAGCCATCCTGAATCCAGAAGAAGGTTTTCACGTTGCCCTATAAAAGGAGACATTTGTGTTTGCAACGGATTGATGAAAATTAGCAGGAGGGATTTTAGCCCAAGCAAGAGAGCTATGGAGTGGCTGTGCACTGGAGAAATTAATAAGCACCTACTTCCTCAGCTCAGAAGACAGCAAACCCCAAAGTCAGGCTCGATACAATATAAGTTCAATCTGCTCCTTCCCCAGGGAAATATTACTGTGCTGATACAGTATTGTTGAGCCAGCCTGTACTCACATCCATGCTTCTTATGCATGACAATAACTTGTCATTACCACCATGCAGAATACTCCAAGCCCTGCTCACCCAAATCTGCTCCCCTCTGTGACTCTGGATATTATTTGTCCCTTTCTTTCCTGGTGTCTCACCTTTTGCCTATGACTCCATGTTTATGCAAGTTAACACACATGCATTGGCTTTTCTCTGGCAATTTATTCATTGTCAGTTCCTTTCATTGTGTTTTCATGGGGCAGAGTGAGTCATTTTCTGCCCCTATAATATCCCCTCAGAGAAAGTGATAGCCTAGTCGCTTACCCTAAACTAAATTCCCTGTTTCCTCAAAAGTCCAAGAATGTAGCTGAACAATTCTTTGGGATAATAAATGCTTTGGGCAAAGGGGTGGTGATTGTCTTATGAGGAACTGACATGTTCACAAAGAATAGAAGCCACAAAGAGAAAGAAGTAGCCATTAAGATAGACCCATAAATCAGGGGGAAACAAGCCTAACTCCCAAATCAAAGAATCTTAGAGACCAGAAGGCAAAGGGGTCATAAGGCCCAAAACAAGGAAAGCCCGTGTCCCCTAACCCAGTGGTTCTCAACTTTCCTAACGCTGTGACCCTTTAACACAGTTCCTCATGTTGTGTTTATCTAAAACCATAAAATTATTTTCATTGCTACTTCATAACTGTAATTTTGCTACTGTTACGAAGTGTTATGTAAATACCTATATTTCCTGATTCCCAAAGAGGTCCTGACCCACAGGTTGAGAACCACTCTCATTTCAGTGAGAATTTTGGGAATCCCTACTTTTGGGTGCACGTGTTCCTGAGGGTACCTTTTCAGGGTTCTTAGCCTTGTCAATAAAATAATTTGAGGACAGCCTCAAAGGAAGTTTGATAACGATTTTATCACAGTTTAGAAGAAGGATTGAGGGGCTAGCTGTACATCTTGGCTGCGGCACAGAGAAAGGAGATGGCGAAAAGAAAGACCATTGTGCCATTTGAGTTAGGCATGGAGATTTGGAAAGGAGCCACACGGCAAGAAGGAGGTAGCTCCAGAGGAACAGTGAAAAAGCTCTAAGTACCAGAGAAAAAAATTATGCTTTTCTGAGTAAGGACTGCAGGCTCCATAACAATTCCATAGAGAGCAAGGATTCTAAGAAGGAACATATATTACCTCATTTAGGGAATAATTGTCCCTCCCATGGATATAAAGGAGAAAATTGTTTTCTAAATCAGTTTATTTTTTTTAAAAAAAATAATCTTTTCTCATTTTATATACCAACACACTTTCTCCTCTCCTCACACTCCCTCCACCTTCCCCTCCCACCCCTCTCCCCATCTACTCCTCAGACAGGGTAAGGCTTTCCGTGAGAAGTTAACAGAGTCAAGTACAACACTTTGAGACAGGACCAAGACCCTCCCCGTTGTATCTAGGCTGAGAAAAGTATTCCTCCAAAGAAAACTGACTCTAAAATGCCAGCCAAGCAGTAGAGTTATGGTCCCACTGCCAGTGGCCCCACAAACTGCCCTAGCCATACAACATTCAGAGGGCCTAGTTTGGTCCTATGTTGGTTCCCTCACTGTCAGTCCTGAGTCAGTGAGCTCCCTTTAGGGTAGGTAAGCTGTTTCAGTGGGTATCCTTGTTAGTGATGTATCTGGTGACAGAATGGAACCTGGAAAGGAACACTAGACAGAGAGATGGATGCACATGTGTAGACAGAAGTTTCTGTCCTGCCCATTCCCACAGTCATTTGATCCAAAAAACACACAGAGGCTTATATTAATTATAAATTATTTGTCCTATTAGCTCAGGCTTATTATTAACTTACTCTTACAACTTAAATTAGTTCTTGTCCATGTTTAGCCACATGGCTTGGTACCTCTTCTCAGTGAGGTATTCTCATCTTGCTTCTTCTGTGTCTGGCTAGTGACCACATCTCTGCCCTTCCTCTTCCCAGAATTCTCCTAGTCTGGTTGCCCCACCTATACATTTTGCCTGACTACTGGCCAGTCAGCATTTTAATAAACCAATACAAGTGACAAATCTTTACAATGTAAAAGAGCATTGTTCCACAACATTTCCCCTTTTTTCTTTTCAAAACAAGAACTCTGTATCTAATTTCCTTTGCTAGTTTTTTTCCTGACCATTATTCATAACAACTTGTAATCAACACTCTAAAAAAAAGTAAAACATCCATAATCCATTTTGGGGGAATGCGGGAGTAGTTTTCTAGGATACTTCCTGCTGATTGGAGGTGCTGTTAATCTTATGCAGACTCAAAGAAAATTTAGACTTATCGTCATATCCTGACTGGAGTAGCCTGTGAGGCTGGATCATCTTAATCAGCAGCCTTGAAGCTGATCTGGATACAGAACTCAGAAGAAACTGCAGCAGAAGTGATCTGAAACACTGGATCATCTGGACCATCCATTCCCATTGGAGATTTTTCAGGGGATCTTCCTTGATCAAACATTATTGTGAGTGTACACAGGTCTGTGTGTGTACATAAGGCTGTGTGTGCACATAAGGCTGTGTTTGTACATAAGGCTATGTGTGTACATAAGGCTGTGTGTGTACGTAAGGCTGTGTGTGTACTTAGGGCTCTGTGTGTACTTAAGGGTGTACATGTACTTAAGACTGTGTGTGTACTTAAGTATGTGCATGAATTTAGGGCTGTACATATATTTAAGGTTGCACATGTACTTAGGGCTGTGCATGCATGTACTTTGCTGGTCAGTATGACACACCAAAAAAGCACAGGATGCTCTAATGCTGTGTGATTTTTAATTCTGCAGGACCAGTTGCTTTTTCTACCCATCTTGACCTGAGGAGGAAGTCATTCTCAGTAACTTTAACTGAGATTTTTGCCTTCAGCCTTACAGAGAGCTAACCCTTCTCCATTTCAAGCTCTTTTTCTGGATTTTGGCTGGATTTGACTGTGTCTTTCTCACCAAATCCAGAAGTCTTTCCATGTCTGTCCCTCTGTCTAGTATTCCTTCCCAGGTTCCATTCTGTCACCAGACACACCACTGACCATTAATTTGCTCTTCTATATCCATTTTCTCCGCTATAATAGCCCTAACCCTGGAACAGGGTAGATGGTTCAGTGTGTGAGGGCATTTGTTGCACAAGTGTAAGAACCTAAATTTGGATCTCAGCACCATGTAGAAAGCTGGGTAAGGCTTTTTGAGTGCCTATAACCCCAACCCCATGGAGGATGGAGACAGGAGGATAGCTTGTGCTTGCTGGCTGCCAGCCAAGGTTCAGGTTCAGTGAGAAACCTTGTCTCAGACAAATGAAGGCAGACAGTGACAGAGCAAGATATGCAATGTCACCCTCTGGCCTCCTCACACATATGCATGAACACACACACACACACACACACACACACACACACACACACACACAACTAGTCCTTACCTCTTCCCTGGTAAGCAGAACCTTGAACCTCAGCAGGTGGTATATACCTAAAGGCAGGAATGTCATTGATCTAGACTTTCCCTTCCCAAAGGATGTAGCCCTTTGACTTATCAGCAAGTAAAGTTAGATATGGGCTCACAGAGACACAGCAAGAATGAGAGCTGGAAACATACTCTGAGTAGCTATACATTCTGATCCATAACTGGCTTAGTCTATAATCATGTGTTGTAACTAGAGGTTTCTCTCCCACCACCAGTTTCCAAATAACTACTCTGAGGCTTAATATTAATTACAAACTCTTTGGCCTCTTAG